CAACGTCGAGAGAACAACCATGTTGTCTCATTGGAGATCTCTCTTCCAACAAAAATACAACACAACACATTAAGATCTGATACTCAAGCAAATGCTAAGCCTAAACCTATCTCTAGAATTTAGGACCTAACAGGAAATTGTCCTAGATCCAGATCTAAAGAGTATATCTCTATCACGGTTCAGATCAAAGATAAACAGATAAACAAAGACGACACCCATATCGGATAAACGATTGTTTTGCATAAAACACAATGATCAAAATACGTACACACGCTTAAACCTTTTTACATGTATTCATCTAGTCCGCCAAATGGGTGTGAACATCATTCTTCATCACTATTATCACATACCCACACAATATCATGTTGATCCTACCCATGCTACCCATGCTACTTAATCAACACAACACCATAGAAGATACAATGAATATCAACTTCAAAACCATGTCAAACGTTTGTTCATTGATAGAAGAAAATCTGAGATCAAAGATGTGAAAATGTTTTGTCAAGACCCACAAATACATAATCAAAGATAATCAATCAATAGAGAATCCAAACTAGTTCACAAACATAAATTAGATGAAATACATAAGGTATCAAAAGATTATAATCCAAACCCCAACAAGAGATCGAAGATCTTACCTCCTCCCTCTTAGGGTTTTTGTGTTTCTCTCTCTAGAAGAAATGAAGAGAGATAAGTTCTGATATATCTAATGTTACAAAATGAAATTCTGAAAAGTTATGAAGTTCTGCCCTAAAAAAATAAGAAAAACACTTAAATACACATTCAGGATCTGCTACGCTCGCCTAGCGAGCACTAAAGTTTGGCACGTGAGGTGCCTCTGTTCTAACAAACCGACTCTGAGAATTTTTCATGTGTTCGCTAGGCGAACAATCCTTCGCTAGGCGAGTACTTCGCTCCTTCACTCGCCACAACGAATGCTGGTCAATTTTCTATTTGAAGTGTTCACTATTTGCTCGCTAGTAGTTTGCCTAGCGAGTACTTCGCTACCTTCCTCGCCACAGTGAATGTTGATATTTTTGATTCTGTCCAAGTCTGGGAGTGTTCGCTGGCAGCTCGCTACATGCTCGCCTAGCGAACACTTCGCTACCTCACTCGCCAGTACTTCGCCTAGCGAGCTTGCTTTGGTTTGTTTTCTTTCTTGATTCCTTTGTCATCTTTCTTGTGTCTTACTTTTCATTTGTTTTGTGCCTAATTCCTGCACAATAGCACACAAATCAAAGGTACCAAGAGATTTTCACAATATATTGCAAACTAAACAAAGCAAGAGTGGTTTTCTACACTTAATTGACGAAAATGAGTGAAAAATGCCAACATTTGATTGATCAAATAAATGAAATTTGGCATCTAACAGTTTTACAAAAGGGGGAGAAGAAGAAATATAAGAGGAATTGGTTAAATCTATTTTTCTATTCACTTTCTTAATAAGGGTTCAAAGATTACAAGTGAATACCAACAATTAAGATACTAACTTAAATAATCAATTTATTTATAGACTATTAAACTAACTTAAGATACAAGCTAATTTAACAATTGGGCTTAGAAACAAGTCCAATTCAACATACTAACTTAAATTACAAGTTAATATATTTTGACATTATACTCAAACAAATTTCGACTACAATATATACGACTCCTATCAAATAATGAAATTATCCTTGTCGACTATAGAGATCGATCCAAATATCACAAAATTTATATTAATCCTCGCGTAAAAAAAAAAAGACAGTAAAAATCAAATACCCTCAATTTGCCAATCTCAATTTCACATGTCTATCAAGCGGATTTCTCTTAAGAGAACAAAATCAACTTTTCATTTTCATTTCTTTTATAGAAAATTTTAAACTTTCACAGTTCAATATAAACAATAAAAAAAAAAACACTTTTTATTTTATTTTGAATGACGCGTTTCTATGAACAGTGCTTTATCATGTGAAGTTCGTTGATATTCATGCTTTTGAATCTTAACTCCAATTCCACGAGAATAAAAGGATTAAGTAAACAAAAATAGAAGTTAAAGTAGCAAAGACAGGAACTAAAAGGAGTCAACAAGTACTCATTCAAATTTTCGAAGCTATAAACTTAGTACTCATGAAGCAAGAGTGGTAACATATGCATTGCCATAAACTTCATTTATCTATAATTTCTTTTCATTCTTTTATCCACTAAAATACATACAACTTTTGTGCCTTTTCCACTATATACGTGGACATACAACTTTTGTGCCTTTTCCACTATATACGTGGATCCTGGTACTACAACATCGCTCTTTTGTTGGTTTGTTGTCTTTTTGTCACACCACACCGTTACTTCCATTTCTCGGATTTTAGCTCTCGTAAATAACTTGGTTGGCATCGTGTTTTGTCGTGTCGTGATTGGCACGACAATTATCCCTAACCATTCATATTAAGTTTTCGAAAGTCCAACTTGAAAGCAACTTCTTGGTTTACTGGCTTAACATATCTAATTATAGCTAAACGCAGATAGATATGAAGAAGTTATTTCTAAAAATTTGTGCTTAAGAAACTGCTTTTATAATTTTTATGATTTTTTTTATAAAATTAAAAAGAGAATAAAATAATATGTTTTTATTCATCACATTAACTCAGTCTAATTGAAAATCGTACAGAGATATCAAATACAGTGATATGAAATTGAATTTGTGACATCATATTTATTTGTCTTTAAATGATAAAAATTTGAATTTATTCTTATATCAACCATTTGAAAGTTTTTTAATATTTAATTTCATATCCACGTGGACACTAACTTTTATATTTATATCCATATAAGTATTTAAATTAGGTTCGCATAACCATATCTATACATATTTAATTGAAATTCTAATGAAAAAATTTAATTAATTATAATTTATCATATTATTTTAAATTTTTAACCGTTTAAAAAAATCAAGTATGTAATTGTTGAAATAACCAAGCATTTTAGCATATATTTTAATAATGATGTATTTTAATAAAATAGATAAACATGTATATCCATAACAATATATAAAGAGAAAACAATAGTTTAGTGTAATCTATTTTTTTATATTTATTATGCCCTTTAACCGTTATTTTAAAACTACCCAATGCATCCATTAAATAATAACTGCTCATTTTTCAATTTAAGTTGTCAACTTATAAATTTAAAAAAAAAATTAAGAAAAAAAAGATATTTTATAATTTGTTGTGTATACGCTTTTAAAAAAACATATAAATACAAATGGAGGAAATATATCACAAAGTTTATATTAAAAATAATTTATATTAAAAACAAAATTAAATAAAAAAAAATATATTTATATTTTAATACGTGCTGACAAACATACACTGAATATCCGTTTGGATGCTAGTAATAATAATATTAATAATAATAGTAAGGATATAAATGTATATTAAACAAGTATAGGATGAAATATTTAGTTTTTGTATCTGCCTTCATACCCATTTATTTTAATAAATTAATATTTGAATATTCATTTTCATTTTCAAATTTTTATTTTATCCATTATGAATAACTTTTGTATATATCCATAGTGGAGATTAGGGATTGAAAAAAAACTGTAATCGTAGATATTCGCTGGTAAAATTTGTCATGAATACGGATTGAATAGTTTAATCGATATCTATGGATAATATAAATGGATATTTAATTATCCGTTTTTTTACGGATACAGATACCAATTTGATGATACCCGTACCCGTGATTATTCATATCCGTTAATAATTAATAAAATTGCTTAAATATCATTCTAAAATTAATATACTTAAATTATGTGATAAATTTGTTTGATATTTTGATAAATTAATATGCATTATGGTAAAATTTTCTCACATTCTACAACAATATTCACTGTAAAATATTTTTGAATTTAATATGATAAATACATTTAAATATTTTATATATAATTTTCTATTTATTAAAAGGTAAATTTTCTATTAAAAATATAAAAAATTAATAAATTTCAATTAAAAAAAATATCTATGAATATCCGTAAATATATGCGAGTATTTCAAAATTCACAGATATGAGACGGATAGATATTATTTTTATTAAACGGAATAGATAGTGAAAGACTAATACCCATCCATCCTCATGAGAATCCATTGCCATCCCTAGATATCCATCAATTGTCATCCATATCTATAAGATATACATATTGAAAGTTCAAACACATGATTTTTATTTATAAATAAGATATAATAGAGAAAATAGTAATGCTCAAATACAAACCTATCTAAATAAATATTGAAGATCAATTTAAGAAAAACTTTTAACATGGTAAAAAATTAAATATTAATTGAATTTATTTGGATATTCATATCAGATTAAATTTTAAATTATTTTTAAAATAAATTCAAACTAATCAAATACATATATTTTAATATTTATTTATTTAATATGAAATTGATATATTACATTAATTTAATATTTATCAATAATTAATTTTTTTTAATATTACTTTTCAATTTAGTTTAAGCTATTTTACAATTTTAGTTGTTTCAAGTACTATAATCAATGGTTGTTATTTTGTAATACTAATTTTTAATGGATTATATTATATATTACACCAAGTATATTATTTTACATGTTTTTAAAATATTAATAAAAAAATTATGACTTATAGTTTTAATATCCAAAACTGATCAAAATGAAATTGATAAAATTATATCAGATTTCTTTAACTGGTCATAAAAACTAAACTGATAGGACAAGATAACATGATTGAAAAAAAAATTCAAATAACCAAATAATAAGTTAATAAGGAAATTTCTTTCATATTTTCACAAAACGTTAAACACTCGTAATCCTTCAATAACATCCAAATACATGTACACATCACACTCCTAATCTAACAACTAATCACAATTAACTTTCATAAATAAATAAAATTAATCACAATTGAAACACCATGCATGCACACTCTAACAATAATTTCCAAGAACCTTCTCATAATTTTGTCACCACTCTTTGTAGCATTACCTTTCAATATCAACAGGTGAAAAAGTTTTTTTCCCCACATGAATAAAGCTCTTTTGGTTGCCAACTAAGCTCCCCTTTTGATTTTCCACGTCATCATTAACCTTTTCAAATTCTTCTTCTTCAATATTCCCCAAAGTGAAATATTGAACCTTATTTTCATCGAAGAATTTAGTCAAAAACAAATAGAAAGAAACACCAAAAATGGTGACAAGAATTAAAAACCAACTAAACATAATATTAACAAGTGCAACCGCACGATGAAGTGATTCATGATCAGAACATCTCACAACTTTATGACCTTCTTCAAGATTCATAAAACATCCTTTCGAAATCAAACTTGGTGTCCAAAGCATGAATCCCATAACCATAAGCCACAAGCCTTGAAAAAATATACTCAAAGATCTCACGAAGCTAATCAAGAAGCTTTTTTGCATGGAGATTCCGAAAAGAGTAGTTGAAAAGGACACAAATATGAGAATTTGTAAGAGAAGATGATATTGTCCTTCTGGTCCCATGTGATCGGATGAATGGAGATGAAAGAGAAGAAATTGTTGAAAAAAAGCTATGGAAGCTAGTAGTTGAGTCAAGGAAGATTTTGATTTGTTCTTGAGTTTATCGAGGATGATCGCGAACACGGCGTAGACGAAGAATGTCAATGAGATCGAAGCGTGTTCGAAGTTGTGGAGATGGTTAGATGGGATTGTTCCGTCGGGGTCGAAGGGTTGGTGTCGGTCGGGGCCGATGAAGAGTTCCATGGAGATTGAAGATGTTGTGGCTACCATGATGAGGAAGAGTTCAAGGTATTTGAATTTTGATGATGGGAACCATGGTGATGAAATGTAGGTTTTTGGATTTTGAAGATGGAGTTTGATGTGGTTGAAAAGGTGCCATAGTCCTATTATTAAGAAACCAAAACCAGGAGCAACATGTCCTACTAGAGTGCCCATGTTTAAGGATGTTTTTTTTGGTTATAAGGATGTTTTTTTAAGGATGTTTTTGGAAGAGGGAATGGAAGAGAGGGTTTGGATGAATGAAAATGGATAGAGAAAAGGATGGGGGGTTTAAATATTTAAAGAGGGAATTGTTTAAAGATTATGTGAGTTGAGTTAAGGTATTGTCTAGAGGGTTCTATTAGTAATTCAAGTCCAACATTAATTTGTGACTAGGTTAAGGAATAAGGGTTTGTTTTGTTGTTTTCATTTTCTACCTTATGACCAAATGACGAATGAGATGAGGTTTAGCATGTTTCTGACTTTCTAGATGAATAAATTAAGTTTAGAGGAGCACGCAGCCCTTGTGATTATCTTCTTTAGGTGTTGATTAATATTGTGCAACACATGACATCATATGATTTTGGTCTTTTTTGTATGAATGACTTTTGTTTTCTTCCTTATATTATTTTCATGGAGTATTTGGATTTAAAGAGTAATTCTTTTGACACAAATAGTTTATTTCTCTTTGACATTTCAAATTTGAAATCCGCTATGTTCTAATGATTTTTAGTTGGGGTTAGTCTATTCAAAATAAAGAAACTTTATTCTTTTATTGGAACTTCTACGAATTAGATATTTGATTTTAAAAAAAAATTATTTCATTTATGATCTCTAGTTTAAATTATTTATAAAAATATATTAATGTAAAAACGGTTGAGATATTATATATAATTCAAGTTGAGTTATGTAGTGTAAGTCTAAAGTTAATTAAAGTTTAAGGTTTGTTATTTAGTTTATTATTTTACTTAGTAGACAAGTTAGTTGTATATAAATATATAGTTTGTAATTCAATTATGAATTTAATTGATATCACTGACAGTGTAAAGATTTTTTACACTGTCAGTTAATCACAACCGCTGATTTATGTAAAATGTTTGATTTTTATTTTAACCACTTGAAAAGTAATACCGACGGATGGTTGTGATGCATTGACAATGTAAAACTTTTTACACTGACAATGCGTAATAATTAATCTCTAGTTATTATCATTCAATTCAATAATACAATCCTTGTTGCTTTATTTCCTCTCTCTGTCTCTCCTCACTAAAAGTGTTTCACGCGTTAACAACTGATATCTAGTGCTTCGATTAGATTCTTGATCGTGTTTTCAAGAATCACATGTCAGAGATCGTATTTATGGGATCATGGATTGTTGTTGATTAATCGCTACAAAGATGAATGATAACAGAAATTTATCGAACTCCCTTCTAACTCTTGACGGCAAGAATTGGCTTTGATGCAGAAAACAGATGCAATCTCTATTTGCCTTTATGAAACTCTATAAGTGGTTACTAATGGCGTTCTCGCACTTGGTGAATATGCAACTGTCGCATAGAGAACCGCTCACAAGGACTCCAAGAAGAAGGATTGTAAGGCAACATTTTACATCCAATCGGCGATTGATGCGGCTAATTTCGACATAATCACTCATGCTGAATAGACGAAGGAGGCATGAGATATTCTTATCAAGTACTATGAAGGAGGCGAGAAAGTCAAGGTTGTCAAGTTGAAAACTTTGTGATGTGTCCGCAAGTGCACGGAAATATCGAAGTAATATAAAAGGTTTGTCGAACCCACAGAGACCAATGTCAACCTACCGTTATCTATTGTTGCGGCGTAAAGCTAAGGCTAATGGAATTTGGAAGGTTAAGTGCGAATGAAATTAAATGCAAAGGAAATAAAGATTTTTAGTTTTAGAAATATATTGATAAGGGATATCGGTATGTAATGCTTTAGTTTTTGGGGATTCGACAGGTCGCCGGTGCTTTTTAGTCTTTGCAAACACTTTTTAGGAGAAAATACTCGTTTAAAGACCTTTGTCTCACGATGGTTGTTGACTCGGGTCATAATTCTAAGGCGGAATGTACGCTTTCGCAGTCCCATTCGGGGTTTAAATTACTCTTTGAAAGTAAGAAAGTTCTAATTTCTTTTAAAGCGCTTTCGCTGTGTTTAAAATCAATGCCTAGTTCTTACTATCCGGTTTGAACCCCAGCTTTCGCGTGCCAGCTCGTGCCTTAATGAATTTCCCACTTTCGTGGCAAAACTACTGTAAATACTTTCTCGCTTTCGCGACGAAGGTTTATTTAGAAGATTTTGATTAAAAACTACGGCCAGAAAGATGTTTGTAAAAAGGGAAGGTGCACCGGATATTATCGAATCCCATCCTACTAATTCGATTACATACCGATAAAACTAATTTAGCTAGATATGATAACTAATGCAAACGGAAATAAACAGTTGCAGCAGAATAAGATAACATGCATACTGACAGAAATAAAGTAATAATTCAATTAATAAAAACCTGTAAATTGTACTGACCTCGAATCCTTGAGTAGTCCTCCACAATGTCGGCAGGATTCTACTTTGGCGTGAAGTAAAAGGTACAGGAAGAAATACAGCGGTACAAATGAAAATAAAAAGGAAAGGAAATGGGAAAATAATGCAAGAACGTAAATTCGGCTTCAATGGAAATTTCGACAGCGCTTCGATACCCTGAAGGCCTCCCCCTTGGTTCTGTGAATCTCAGGCCTATTTATAGGAGATATTTCATTTCTCAACTTCCAGAGATCATGCGTGAGTTTTGGAGGAAGTGGGAGTAACTTCTTATAGTGGGCAGTTAGTGGAGAAAGTGTAGGAAGAAATTAAGTTGAAGCGTGCTCGTGGCCACTTCTGTTTTGAACGAACTTCTGATATCTGGTTCATGACGGTCGTGGCACTCTTGTGACGGCCGTGTTGCACGTAACGATCGTGAGGGTCTGTGACGATCATGAAGGCTGTGACGATCGTGAGGAAGCTGTGACGAGCGTCACACGCACAAAACTCTGTTTCTCTGCTACTTTCAGTTTTTCTTCTCTATTTCTTTCTTTCTTCTTTCTTTTTCTTCTTTAATCCAAATTCTCCACAATCTGCAAAACATAGTGAACTAACCGTATAATAGAACATAAATCAAGACAAATTAACAATAATCGCAAATAAATTCATGTAAATCAAGTCGAATAAACGATATGATTTCGCGTTATCAAATACCCCCAGACTTAAACCATTGCTTGTCCTCAAGCAATCAACCAACACGGTAAAAAGAAATAAGCATAATTTGAAACAAAGACACGATGAGACTCTAATCATACGTGGCTGCTAGGCTAATGTTAGATCGATAGGTACTAAATATCAATACCAAGGATACCATAACGACACAATTTCAAAAACTCCCTACTTATGCAAACCAACCGGAATCATGCCATTATAACTCAACCTATATCTCATGCTCTCTTTTCACCTCATTTCATTATAGTGCAATCACATTAAGTCCGTTATCCATACACATTCATGGCAAGTAAACCTTGAAGGTGAGATAATACTTAGAAGGGGGGGGGGGGGGGTTGAATAAGTATGAAAGATTAAGACTTAAAAAATAATCACACAATTATTTTTATCCTGGTTCGTTTAAACAACTACTCCAGTCCACCCTTCCTAGAGTGATTTTCCTTTCTCAACAAGGACTTAATCCACTATTAAATCAAACTGATTACAATAGTAACACCTAAGAGCAACTGTTCTTAGTCTTCTCAAGAGCTACTGATTCCAACTGAATCCTCTTAAGGAAAAGCCTTTACAATCAATGTAAATTAAATACAAGAGAATTAATGCTTCTATAAAGCTTTTTATCACAACAGTGATTTTTCTCTTAAGTTTAAGTATAAAAGATTCTAAGAAGAATATGAAATAATGAGAGCTTAGAATAATATGATTTCTTTTCAGCAAATTGTGTATAACGCGTCACTGAAGAATTTAGTGGAGTCATCCTTTTATAGGCAGCTGATCCAAGTAAGTTGAGCATTGAAAAGAGAGTCCCAAAAAGGTCTGAGCCTTTTTGTCTTCACATCAAGTGACCTTTCCTAGAAGTAGATAGTACAGAAAAATCCTTTTTGTCTGTGTAAGTGTGTCTAGCACAAATGAGGAAAGAGACGTTGATTTACTCCAACGGATATATTCTTGAATATTTATTCTTCAGTTTTCAGCAAGTTCTTCAGAGTCTGAATGGATCAGAGTCTTCTAATGATATACAGAACTTTGCTATATCAGAGTCTTCTGCAGCATGTGTGCTTTCAGCGTGTTGATCATCAGAGCATATTTGACACAGAGCTTCAGTACTTGGCAGCGTTGGTACTTTCAGAAACTTCTGTAGAATTATGCTTTGAGAAACTCTTCAAACAATATTCTTCTTTGCTTCAGATGCTTCAGCTTCAGATGCTTCTGACAATCTTCAGATGCTTCTGACTCAGAATGTTCTGGAGCTTCTTGCTTCAGATCCTTCTGGAGACTACGCTCAGGATCTTCTGTAAAGAGCAATCAGATTCTTCTGTAAGATGCATCTGGTGCTTCAGAGTCGGAATAACTTCTTGTATACAGTACAAATTTGCTTATAGAGAGTTAATTTCAATTCAATCTGCAGTAAAACTCTCAAACAAATTTTAGAGTATATAATTCTTAAATATAAAATTTCCTAACAGTTATCATCAAAACAAAGAGTTATTATTAAGAACCAATCTGTGTTCTAACAATCTCCCCCTTTTTGATGATGACAAAAAGTATCAGAAATTTTATTTAACTGAACATAAAGAATTATAACTCCCTCTGAGATGATGAATCTCCCCCTGAGTTAAATATGAAAAAGGAATAGAAACTTCCCTTTTGTCTTGAGTAATCTTCAGAGTTAGATCTTGTTTGTTCTTATAACAATTTAGGGTCAGAATGTCTTGCAGATATAAGATTCAGAGTTTGATAAAAGACAAATGATTTGAGAGACTCAGAGATTCTTTTATAGAGTGTTCTTATCAAAGGTTCTGAAATAGTCAAGTTAAGTATTAGATAAAATAGAAATGTCTGAAGATTCATTCTAGTGAAGTTATATTAAACAGTTCAGATCTTTATTTTCTCCCCCTTTTTTGTCATAA